TTTTGAAGAGATTAATGAATTAGAAAGCAATCAACATTGAGTTCTTCTTTTGTCATTTCAAATGCGCTTCAATATTTCAACTTGAATTTCACTTAAATCATTGCTATCAACAATTCTTCCTCGAGTTTCCGTCTAACAAAGAGAACGAAACCATTTCTGATATGAGAAAAATAATTTTCATTTTAAGCAAAAAGAACAAATCGACTGTGACAAAAGAACTACTATTACTAAATTTGTCAAATAACCAATATTTCCGGTAGCTTTTTTTGTTTCAGAAAAAAAAAATTGATCCGAATCAACATGTCAGCTGTCGATTCGATTTTCTATGAAATTCAAGAAATAAAATTAAATTCACGGTTCCAGAACTCTTTAGTCTAGAAATTGAAAATGAAACTTTCACAGGCCTCTCGGTCTTCCTAAATGAATAAAAATTTAAACAAGAATGTAAAAAATATAACTCCATTCTGAATTTAACTATTGAATTTGGCATACATTCCAAAAAGAAACTTTAAAAAAGGTAATTGAATTATCAAACAAATTTCAAACATTTCTCATAATTATTCCGAACGATTGAAAATGAATGATTTTTAGGATTTGCCCGTCCCTGGATAACTTGGCCTCCCTGGATACCTCGCTGTACAGATGTTTCCCTATAGTTATGTGCTGAATAATACTGAGAAATCTTCCGAAAATATTGCTACATTTTTTGTAACACTTTAAACAATTAACTAACTAATCATTGTTTATTCAGGGAAGTTGAAAACTGGAATTAGAATCCTGAAGACAAGAATTAGGACATGTTAATCGCGACCCACATCTCCTTTAGTGTGAAATTCTGCAGCCTGATTTCCTCACAAAGATTGTCACAGTGCTGGTCATCCATCCTAATTAAAGAGGAAATCATGAAGGAGGAGACTTGAGACTTATCAAACATACTGTACTGGTAAACACAGAAGAGGAATTAGTTGTTAAAAAAAAGAATGGAAAAAGTTACCCTACGAATAATTTGAGGAAATTCAAAAATTAGGGAATGAAACAAATAGGTAAAATTATAGAAGACTGAAAGTGAAAATTTTCACTAAACTTGCAATAATCCTTAATAAAAAGATGAAAAATTACGACTCCTAATTTTTTTTTTCTTTCGTTTCAGCCATAATTTAAGCTATTTGCAGTTTCTCGATAATTGAAGTAGAAATCTACAAATTCTCTCCTCAAATGACCTTTGTGTTAACATAATGCATCTTCCAGAGATAATCTTATTCTTTATCCATAATTCCTAAAAGAGAGAGGAGGAGGGGGAGGGTAGGGGGAGGGAGAGGGAGAGGAAGGATGAGAGAGAGAGATAAAGGTACTTTTGTTTCACTTTGTCGATTTAACAACGTTCATTCTATAGTACGCAACAATTAAGCAATTTAATAACTATTAATGGAATTTTCTTGATGCTTAGAGAACTGATAGAGATCATATCAATTAGAGATAATGAGAAATAATAATAGTTAGCTGAAGAAGTTTGATAAATATGGTTGACTTCATCATTCCTCAATCTAGCTTCTAAAATATTAGACAAATAAGTCCGAAAATAATAGATTTATAATTGATGCAAATGATTTACATTGCTAGTGTTAAGATTAAAAGCTCGATAAAAATGTATGAAATTTTGAATCAACTTACATACTTGGTGAAGAAATTATTTAAATGAATGAAATTAACTGACAAAGAAGAAATGAGAGACTTCATTTCATCCACCCATCAAACAATTTTTAAAAGAATGAATCCTTCAATATATCAAATGTATATAGCGATATGAACACATCATCATGATAGGGATCATTTCAGAGGAAAAGATATATGCGTAGCAATTATGTAAACAGTGTGAAATTTTGAGTAATCTGCTAGCATACCTAAAGAGAATTTGGCTGTTCCTTTATCAGCCATAGTCCTCCTTGATAGACAATTTACTATTATCAGCACTAGTCATTACAACACTTCTATGTTCTGATGACATGAAAAGCAGCTGTTGTAAATGTTTCGGTTTTGTCAAAGATGAACAAACTGATTTAATGAGGAATTTTACGAATTGTGCGCTAATCGTTTCATTTTCATTCATCTCTTACATGTCTGGTAATGGCATTTTTAAAATAATTACGAATAGCATTTTAAACAAATGAACAAAAGGAAAATTTCACTTCCACGCACACATATACATAATGCTAGCTTGGCTGTAACATACCAAACAACTGTCTTCCAGAGTGTCACATATGCGCATGTGCATATATTGGAATGTCGCGATCTTCGATCACTACCAAAAGTTAAGTAAATATTGCAATATCCACAGTAAAAGAAAAGAAGAAAGGAAAAGGTAAAGAAATAAAAGCATAAAGTAGATGATGAAACGTAAACAAATTACTGGATAAGTGGATGAACCTGAATGCACATTTTGATACCTGTTCATCCCAATATCTTATTACCTTCATCTCACTGATGATGAAAATTCTTGAGATAAAAGAGAAATATAAATAAAATAACAAAGGATATGAAAAAATATGCAAATTGAATGCAACTAAGCAATTCCTGAATAAACCATCTCACTCAGTGAAACACACAGGACAAAGGATGAAGTATCTCTCATGTCTTTCAACCTAAATTTTACATTGATGAAATTATATGATATTAGTATTATAGAAAGGTGAATGAATGATAAAAAGTGTTGTCGATGGTTAAGCAAATAATAAAAGCTTATCATTTCCGACAAACAAATTTTGGACATTTACGAGAAATAAAGAATTGATTCTGGAAAGGTATGTTTGAAGAGGTAACACTGTCGATCAGTTTCTGTCGCCGCCCATAGGCGCACATGACAAAAGAGAAAAAACCTGAATTCAAATTGACTCGAACATATCAAATTGTGATAACAGTGTTTCGAGGTACATTTCTTGCTCAGCTCAGCAATACTTCACTTTATCATCAAGAATGATGCCTACTAATCATCAGCAATATTACCTGACTTAAAGTCACAGCTACTTTATGACATTAATCTCGTCTATATCCATCCACATGTTTTCTAAGGAATATCAGGAAGTGTGCATTCCCATCTTCAGAAATAACCATAATCTTAATATTATCAAACCCTTAACCAAACAATTCAAAACTGATATCTTTCCTGGTTATCAGAGATTCTGAATGCCATAAAAATGAAATGAAAAATTAATATATCACTGTTGGAAGGAATGGTAAGAAAGAAGGATGAAACATATGAACGTTGAATCTTGGAAGAAATTTCCAGAAATGAAGAAAATGATTGCTTGACATAAGAGACTTATAAATTGTTCGTCAGTTTTTCAGTGAAGAAAAAAGATATGCATGTGAGAAATGGAATATTATCATTAAATTACCTTTTCCAGTTATGCAAATTTCAGAAATCATTAAAGTCAACTAAATTTCGTTCTTCATCGAAATCTCACCGAAATATTTATGAATAAACCAAACTGACCAGTCCCAGTGTCAATCTACAATATCACCTCACCTCATCTAGATACTATTGACAAATTGGAATCAATGTGTGATAGAGCTAAACTGAATGTGTCTGTCTGTGTCTGTATGTATGTGTACGTGTGCGTGTGCATGTGTGTACAGAATGGACAGATTGAAAGGGAATGGGAAGGGAAATAAGGACGAATCACTCACCATCGTTGATCAAATCCAATACGAAGAAGGTAAAAATGGTTAATGCACGCTGCACACACACAGACACGCACGCACGGACACACATACGAACACAGACACACATTCATCACCAGTCAGTCTATTTCGAACACTTACTGCTGTCAGTGTGTCCCTTCTCTGTTCACTATCTCCTTTTCTTGCTGAGGTGTATTTAAAGAGCCACTGACTGACTGTAATATGCACTGTTTTTCCCTTATTTCTTTTCATGCTAAACCGGAAAAATGAGAAGGATGACTAGGTGAGGAAGAATCCTTCCGGATGAGTCATCCGGAAGGAGAATTGAAGATGAGATGAATTCATCTTCTCTTCATTTCTGTTAAAACTATATCTCCAGATGTATTACTTCTATTGATCAGTAAGTAATTCTCACCCATCTCTACCATTCTCACTTGACATCCCAGCATTGCTTCAAATTTTTAAACCCTTCACCAAAAAGAAGTGTAATCCTCACTGTATTCATAGCTCTATCCGATTACAATAGTTGGCAGTGATATACACCTTTTATTCGTTTCGATTATCCCCAAAATCGGAAGAATTAAATCTAATGTATTCTGATTTAAGTTTTTCGTGACAGCATAGCTTATAGGGACCAACTTCTGTTAAATCAGAAGATGTTTACTTCTCTAAACACCAAATAATATAGTATGATTTGACAAAGGAGCTTATACCTGTTGTTAATCTCACTTCCAATTTCCCAGATACTCATAGAAGAGAAAACTACGAATTACTATGGATGCTTCCTGAAAATAATTTTCAACCAACCTGTTACGGTTTATTCTGCTTCCAAAAAGAAAATACAGTAATTGAGATGGAGATTTGTTGTAATGAAAAACGAACTTCAATCAATTTTGATTTGTACATAGATGTAAAGCTAATGACCATATGACTGTCTATAAAACTATTATTTACGAAATGAAGAAAATCATGTTTTGTGAAACAAATATTCTGAATGGAAAAAAGGAGGAACAAAACAAAAATTTGAAGGAAAAAAGAGAGAGGGACGTAAAACAGTGACAATCGTTTGGGATTAAAGTAACTTTTATCAGTCAGTAGGCATCACCTCTTATTTCATCAAAGTAAAATTTTTTCAATGTTTTTTTTTTTTTTTTTTTTTGGAATTTCGGACAGAGTAGCATATATATGTGTAAGAAATGGCTTAATTAAAATTTTAAATCCATTCACCGAATTTCTGGCTTAAAAATACTAGCTGACAAAGGTCATCGTCTCATTGTTTGAGCCTACAGCGATATTTTAGAAAGAGCATTTGCAGATTCAAAATGCCGGATGTGTCGGGAACGTTAACGAAGTGGAAAGGACGACAGCTTGAGTCAACTCCAATCACACCATATGAAAATACGGCAAACCTGTTCGGTGTGACTGCTATAATCCCCTTTTACTCAGTTTTACCATTGGCCAGAAATGATTGAGTGGATTTAACCGATATATTGAGTGAAATAAAATGTTTGAATAACTTGACTCTGGTTTGAAACTTGATAATCAATGGGAAAAATAAAAGTACGCATTTCATGCAAAACATGCAGTACAAATTTCCCAACCGGATAAGCTTTTCTTACATTCTTCCCCTCAATTTATTTCCGTTAGCATCATTATATATTTTACATAATTAATAAAAATTCTAATGTAACCAAACTGTTCATTCAGTGAATACTGATGAATCCAAGTTAGATAAGTTTGTTGAGAAATCTAATATGCTTCTATAAAAGATGGATAAGAAAAGATACGTGAAATCCTTAGAACTAAAAGTAGTAATTCTTTATTGAATTTTGATTTATTATCCGAACTAGTCTTATGCAGCTTCTCAAAAAGAAATTCAAATCATTCCCCTTCAAGTAATAGGAATCGTATCTTGAATATATTGCAACAAAAAATGTTTTGTATTTTTAGTACAAAATCGGGAACTGTAACAGAATTTGGCTCAAAGTAGATCCATGTCTAGCACATTAATTCATTTGCAGTGGTAGTAGACACAAGTTGTACGTATCAGTAGCAATCAATACGATTTAGAATTTTTTCAGGGATATTCGAGAACAATTCCATGCAAATATTGAATGAAAACAAACAAAACTGAATCACTGAGAGAAAAGTTAGTAACAAATTACAAACGAAAATAACAATTTCGTACAAAAAAGGGAAATAAAAATGGAAGATTGGAATTGTTCGTAATTAATTTTTCACAGAAAGAGAAGAGAATTCAGCCATGTCGCAAGCCCAACAATTGAGAAATGAAAAATATTTATGTTGATTGGTAATTTAAAAAAATGATATGTAACTAAAACTGCAATAAACTACAAGCTAGGATCACAAATATTCATTCCAATATCTAAAATGAAATCAATCATTTCGATGACATAAATAAAATCCTTTTAAAGTATTAATTTGTAATAACCATTACAATCTTGTTTTGAATACAGTACAATAGGTGAGGTATTCTTGAGTTGAAAGAATGGTTCAATCACTTCCTCTATCCGCTTGAATTCCCGTTTGAATTTGCTTAGTTGCTTTGCAGCAGCCGTGAAAGCACTCAAAAGTTCGTCCACTGTGAAATTACGATCAATAAGTGTTGCAAGCAGACGAATTGCATCCACTGAGATTTCCGTGACGACTACTTCAACCACTGTTTGAGGCGCCAAAGCAATAACCACTTTTTGCAGACAAGCACGAATTTGAGTCTAAAAAACTTGATCGTTAGTTCCAACTGAATTCAGAACTAACGTAGCACAAAATTTCAAAAGACAAAAGAGTGATTGACACCTTTTTTCTGTTTATTATTCCAAACAATAGCTATTTGCTAGAAATGTGCAAATAAAATAAACGATCATTATTCATTTTAACTTCATTTTAGGTAATATGAAATTAACATCATTTATTCATAAATATATAGAGAACCTACCTCATTCCTTTTTCGGATATGAGCTGCCGGTTTCTCGGTTAAAGCATATCTCACGTTCAGGCTAGCAGGAGTGGCAGCTACTGGTAGTGTGTTTAGCGAGTGCCTTACAGGCGAAGTGATATTAGATAAATGTGGAAATGCTTCCACAAAGGAAACATCATTCTGGTAAACCTCAAATTTACTCAACATTTCATCGAACGTAAGCTTGCCCAAGTCAACACCACCGATACGAGTTAATACTTCATTTTCTCCATACACCACTAACAGCATTTCGATATGTGTTTCGTTACAATGCTCCTGTGAAGAATCAGATTAGATGTTGACGCATCATCACTTTTATCAGCATAACTCAGACTGATTGAGCAGTCGTTTTCCCAACACAAACTGAACGACCAAAAATGGAAAACACAGGTAATGAAAGGGAGAAATCACTTCATAATTCCAGCCTTAAATTTAATGAATCCTATTAACTTTTAAACTTCACTATTTTTACCCGTAGTTTCCATTATCAAAAACAATATTTCACAAATTTCCACGTTTTTTCTTCCCCTCCATTTAAAAAAAAAAAAACAGGAAAAAGCTACTTGAATAAAGTGTGCATGACAAGAATTTGAATAAATGTTACAATAAGTTCCGTTATTTGCATCGGAGCGACTGGGTCATGTAAAACATCTGTCTGGATTCCGCATGACCACATCTGTTTCACCAAATTTGCAGTTGTTTTTAGGAACTGATCAGAGACTGAACAAACTAATGCTTGACCGCAAACCGATCCAAAGTCTAACATTTAGATTAGAATTAATTTTTCAATTTCCATTAGAGGAAGAAAATGACTGGAAAATTGATTTTTTTTTATTTTTTATATAAAAATTACATGGCCTACATTAGTGACAACATTGTTCCACTAATAGAATACATAGGACGGTTTCAAAGTTTGTACACTAATCCGTACTCATTTTCATTCCCGGTTCTATTGCGAAATAATCGATACCTTCATTACTTCCTTCGTTGAGGTAATTCAGATCTTACGTTATATGTAACACATTTGCAGCTGACCTATATGCTATAACATGGCCTAATCGATAACTTTCGATAAAATTACCCGGTTTATTTGTGCAACAAAAGTGAGCAAGAATATCGAGTGATAGACTGCATCCAACCGCGCATAGTGGAGTGGGAGGAATTAGATCTTGCGCATGACGCTCGTCATCTAGCAAGGTATCATATCGACCTGTGAATGGAAAAATGTTACTTCTTACATTTCTTCTTGCTGGATTACACTACCATTTAGCTTTTCAACTAAATGATAAGAAATCAACTTACCTCCAGCACCAATAATGACAGGCCGTATTGTTTGTTTATGCAGGACGAGTACTCGTAACTGAAACATGAGGCCACTGCAGTATGTATGTGGTCGATAACAAAGAGTGCCGTCGAACAAGATGTGCTCAGTCATATCATCTGAAAATAAATATATGAACACATGATAGATCACATCATATAAAATGGAAAAGTCCGTGTCATAGAATATTATCATCCATTAACAACAAATGAAGTGATTTGTTGTACTATTTCTGCCTTTTATACAACCAATGTCAGAATGTATTTCGTAAAAACAACAAATGAAGAACCCGAATTTGAACCATAAAATAATGGCGTTTCTAAGAAGATTCCATGGAAAAACTCGAAGAATTTGAATTAAAACATTTACCGATGAAACATTTCAACAATATGGCTAAATTTGTGAGGTCACTCAATGCCTTCTTAGAATGCTTCTGAACACGATCATCACGACAGTTTACCAGACATTCCGTCCTTGCTACCAACGCTTCTAATGTGCAATCATCACCTTCCAGAACATTAAGCAGTGAATTTGCTTGACTGAATGACATTTCCGTACCGGCCCGAAGTCGTTCGATTTTTTGTTCACGATTAAGCATTTCTGAAAAAAAAAAAAAAAGCGTATAATATCCGAATATTCAGTGCTGGAAAGGTCTATCAGTGCAAGAATACATCGGATAATCGTCATTTTTTTTTTTGAGTTCTAAGTAGATACCTCCACTACTCTCTTTTCGTGCTTTTAATGTCTGGAATAACTCTAATTCACTGACATACATTGCAGTCATTTTGCTTCAATACATAATGAGTATATTTCTTCGTTTCCGGAGACTCAATATTGGCTGTAATGTTTGGTTTTGCGAATGCAAATCTAACTTTCAACAATGAACAACAACGATACTTCGGTCAAACTACAAAACTAACTGTTTGATGTTGCAATCGCGTACAGAATATTTAGTATTTTGTTCTGTGTGCTGAAATCACCGAAACCAAGATACAAAATGGCAGCAATAATTAAATCCCGATGTCCCATCCGGATTTCCCATTTATGCGACGATATACAATCAAGCTGATGGACTGTCTCGATAGTAATGCACAGTATATCGGCTGTAAGCATTTGCGATGAACTTATCGGACCAACAGCATCAATAGCGAATTCAATACGCTCAATGGGATGCATGCTGACTGCAAATATATTACATGTGAGAAGGCTACCAGATCATACATGCATTTAAAAAACTGGATGGATTTTACAAATGTATTAGAATCATCGCTCATGATAATCTATTACAATCAGCTGCTACATATAGAAAATTTATAAGATAATTATTGTACATGTACACGATGATGAATGATGAATAAGATATTCAGCACTGCATTAACAGTGAAAGCGAAATTTCCGAGATTTATAGTGTTGCAATATAAAGTTTTGTATCACAAATAACCTAAATAGCCAATTTATTCCATTACGAATGCAATAGCGTGCAAAAACTCTTCGTAAATAGCCGATCATACATGGTTTAAAAAAAAATATTTAAAAGTGTTTTGAAAGCTCAAAAGTGGTTGATATTTTGACCAAAGAGCGGTTGATGTTACCGATTGAAACATGATACATTTTAATCCCAGCAAAAATTTCTTCATAAACAGATGAGCACATTATGTTTAGAAAAATGGAAGTTTTACCAGCAGCATCGGGACGTCCAAACACTTTACCACAATCATATCTTTTCAGACGATTTACTCCATTACGAACGCAATAACGCGCAAAAGCTCGTCGTAAGTCATACTAAAAGCAACATTTCATTCGCACGATGGCTACTTTATTACAGTAGTGGCAGCTGGATACTAAACAAAGTCAATCTTATACGTGGTCTCACTAGACTTTGGTTCAACCATGTAACCACATGTATATACGGTTACCTGGATCTTCCCGCATGTGTAGCTCACTGTGTAGCTCACTATATTACATTATCAATTATTTCATGATTAACTAATTTCATACCGGTAACATTACTGAAATTCCATTTTCATCAACAAATCTACATGCGCGTGATTTCGAATTCGTCATTTCAGGTGCATTTTTGGCATTGAATGGTGTAATTGAATGCATATCAAATGGAATAAAAGCATGTGTTGAACAGATACGGCACAGTTTGTTACGTAGGGACTCGACAGCACGCAATCGTGGTAAACTCAGTCGGTCCTAAATAAACGAAAATTTAAGGCTAATGATCTGCACATTCAATGAGCGGTTTAAAAAAGAAATTTAAGTCTAGTGAAATTATTTATTTTCACATTTAACGAAACAACTAATCTGTTTCAAAAGAAACAGATGCAAATTTAATTTGATTCAAACAATCCATCTTCTCTCTTTTCACTGCCGACTTTTTTACCGCACTTTGCATTTATGTAAAGTCGGAAGACATCCTCACATGTATATAATATATCTAAAAGGGAACGGTAAATTTGACAGTGTATTTCCAACGACTAACAGACGAAACCGTTGAGTTATTCTCATTTGCTACATTCATGAAATAATGAACATGAACACTGCCTTACAGCAGAACAAATGCCTCGATCATAAAGATAATCTGCTGCTGGTAATACCGGATTAGCTATCAACGTATCAATTATCCAATGATGCAAACGTCCTCTGCTCCGAATAGCTTGACAAAACATTTTCTGTAAAAGCTTAGTAAGACAATGACTATAGTTGAATGAACAGATTAAATAAGTGGTAATTAAATCTTAACCAGTAGAAAAAATTCCTTTATGAAATTTTATGTGTTTGCTTTTGTTTTACGTGAAGCTTTAACTCATGTGATTTAGTTTACTTGGAAATCATTCTCTTCAATTTCTGCTACTGGAATACGATCGCTCTCTAGAAGAATCTGCACCGATGGCCGATCATCTGCTTGGATTTCCAACATCCATTTGATCAGTTTTTTGGCAGCTTTTTGGTGTATCTAAAAACTGTAAGTGAAGTATTTATTTGTATACGTGTTATATTGTGTCTATTAATAGAAACGACTTCATACCTCCAACATACCAGCCCCGAAATCAGAGGGAAAATGACCCGAACCACGCAGATTTTTTATTACTGCTATTCGTTCCATACCAGGCAGAAGAGGTCGATAGAACATTTCAAACAAGACTATGCCAAGACTGAAATGGAACAAATATCGATATATAGATTTAAGAAGTATAAAGATGAACGAGATATTAAATAAGATAACGTAACTGAATTTTTCATCTGAAGTGGAGTTTCAATCAGCGCCTTAACTTATGTTCTTCAGAACTTATCTTAATGTTAATTGGTAACTGAATTAGTGGACAAGTGGGTAAATTATGGAATTTTTACAAATGGACAAAGTATATAGTAATGAATTCAATAATCAGAACAACTATTTAAATAATAAACCAGTTTTAATATATAAAAAAAAAAAAAAGTTTTGAAGTTTGAACAGATAATATAATAAATTAAAAAGTGATCAACAACCTATAAACGTCGATTTTAGTTGTGTAATCGATGCTTTCACCAGCAGTTGACAATAATTCTGGTGCAATATAAAGAGCTGTGCCAATATCTTTGGTCATAGAAAAATTCATATCCGACTCATTTAAAGAAGATAGATTTTTCGACATAATATCGCGAGTTGCGAGACCAAAATCACCAATTTTTGCATGATCGCTACCATCTATCAGAACATTCATCTACAAATATTCAGTTAGAAAGGAAATGGAATTTCGCCGATTCTTCTGTTCCTTCCATAGCAAAATCAGATGTAACTACTAATAATGAGAAACTAAATGAACTTCAAGGAATAAAGTATATCAAGATTTCATTAAAGAAACGCTTAGGAAAGAGCAGAATGAACGAAATAATATTAAAATAACCAAGAGAAGTTTTACAATAACTGCATGGAATCCGTAATTTGAAAAAATAATTACATGTGAGACAAATGATTTCTTTTAGCAAGACAATTGAAAAACATCCTGTTGAGATAAGCTATAACAAAAGTTTGTTGTTACGGCTCTCTACGCTTTCATCACGAAAATCTCGAAATTACAGAAATGTAACCGAAATCTGAACATCTATAAAAAATCTAAAACCTTTATAAAGTTTAGAAACAAAAAAGCCTAACCGGCTTAATGTCACGATGAATCATGCCTTCTTGATGGATGTATTGCAACCCGAGCAATATTTCACGAAATAAACGCCATATTTGCCGTGGATTTTTCAGCAGTTTCGAACTGTCAATTAAATTACGCAAAGTAGACTTCTCACAATATTCCATTTGAATGAATAAAATTCTTAGAGAGAGCGTGGAAGAATTTCGTGCTGTCGTTCCAGATGGTAACGTCCGGTTTGATGGTGTATCGACATTTTCATCACTCGAATCCTCATTGTCGCCTTCATCTTCAAAAAGCACTTCCTATAAATTATGAAAACACAAAAATCAACCATTTTTTACTGAGAATTTGCTATTACCAAGCAAATAGAATGATAGAAAAGTACTGCTTTAGTAACTTTTACGTATCATTTTAGATCCAGTAAAAACCAATAAGTGCGTTCGCCAGAACGTATAAAAGTACACTGGAAAAGTATCCATTTTGTTAATTAAACAGCTTTGGATAGTTCTATAATAAATGGGATTAAAATAGGTGGTTTAATGATTTATACAACATAAAAGTTCTCTAGAGCTGGAACCCACAAAGTCCGAATTTTCAACGGTACTAAGACCAGTAGGCGAGAATAACGTTCGGACAGGCTCTTTGCATTGCTCTTCGGAAACAGAATCCAGTTCATACATAGAAGCCACTTGAAATGACGTTGACCACTCGGCTGTCGTATCTACAGCTAAACGTTTTGCCACTTTTTCGTTATTCTTTATTTGCATGGGCATCAAGGAATCTAAACATCATTTGCTAAAACATCATTTAATTCATTACAAATTCTTTAAGTTGATTTACTTTAAAAAAGTGAATTGAAATTTTTCATAATAAAAGTGATTTTCCAAAATACAGCCGGTGGTTAAATGGATTGGATTGAGTCTGACAAAAATTCAAGTCAATTCATTAAATTTCGATATAAAAGTAATGCTAATTTGATGTTAATTTTTGAATAATTTATAATAACGTTGAGCAATGATGCTTCGACTTTCGAAACTAGATCCCAAATTGAATAAATTTAACTCAGATCACAATGTCTAACTTATCATAAGAGTACATAATCAGTACATACCTTCGGTTCCCACTTCTTGACCACTATTAACATTTACTTCACTACTACTACTTTTCGGTCCAGCTTCTTTTGTAACAGTAGAAGCTTGCTCAATCCAAGCACTGTAGTAACGAACAACATTTGGATGATTTAATTTCGAAAACAGCTTCGCTTCGCGTGTAACTTTTCGACTGAATCGCTCATCCTTGGGATCTAAGGGTATCCGTTTGATCGCATAATCATTACCATCCAGTTTATTCCTATAAAAAGAGAAAGAAAGCTAAAGCAATCAACAAGAAAATAAGATCTAGCTCCTGAAATGAATGATATCTAAGCATATTATTTCAAATTTTATTATTGTTCGCCAAATGTTACCGACGATTCTTTCGTAATCATCCGAATTATTCATCACAGTGATTAGGCATTCAGTACAACCTTTCTTGAGCTGACAAGCACAATGGTAATCAAAACTTGATATCAAGAAAGGTTAGTAATCATGCAGCTAGTTTTAAAATCATTTAAAACTGTACTCAATCTTACTTTGCCAACATGACATCACCAAAACCGCCTTTCCCCAACATTTCGATAAAAATAAATTCGTTTCGAAGCCTACTATGCGCAATTTGCTGGAAGCCTTCTTTCTCAACGTCAATCAAAGACTGGAACAAATCATCTGAAAACAACTTCACTACCTCTTTTTCAGAGCAAATACCTGAAAATATAGATTTTTATATAGCTGGCTTATAATACTGGTAGAAACCTTGATGTAAAAAGGGATGTTCCATTAAGATTTTCAAGATTTTGGTGTTTCGACAAGCTTTCACGAAGCTTTCGAGATTTTTAGAAAAATCTGGATCGTTCGCAACCGCCGGAAGCCCCCTGAATTTGCTGAAAATGTTGCCCAATGAAGCCAAATCATTATGTGGCAATTTATCTATTGAAGAACCGGAGGCGATATTTTCACCGACCATTTCGACACATTCCTTGATAATCCTATATCGATTCAAAAGCAGTGACCTAAATTGTAAAAAATAAGTAAATATCTCAAAAAATTTACATAAAGTCTTCCAAATGACCTCAGATCTCATCAACTTATGACCTATTCAGCTTACTTCAAATTTTCTGAAACTTGTTCCATAACCATACTCAGCGCAAAATTAATCACAATATACCTCAGGAAATAATCAGATAAACGAAAGTTCCGTTTGCCAGTGATCCATATAGACATCAGGTCAAGATCAAAATGTCCCAAATTTCTTTCGTGAAGAAATCGCAAACCATCTAAAAGTTGGACAGCAAGGCGAACTAAAAGTGTCTGCAAATTAAAAAGACATAATAACTCTGACTGACAAAGAAATGAAAGGTTTGTTTTAATTTTTAAAACTAAATTCTAAGAAGATCAAAAATCATGAATAATCAAAATTTTCTAATTTAAAATGAAAGTTATAGCAAATTCAAACACGGATGTTTGTTCTAATGAGGAAACAAGTATAAAGTGAAGTTTATTTTATTGTGCTAAAGAAGGAAGTTTATTTTTCACAAGTCTCAGTACACTAACTTTATCGGTTTCGAAAATATCAATTTGAGATGATAAATTCCGGTCATTCCCATCGATATTTTGACCAATTATAACACTGCAATTAACTTGAAGTTTAAATGACACCTTCCTTAAAAACAAAAAAATTGACATTCTTGCTAAAACAAAGGTATACTGATTGGTCCTTGCTCTCCGCTCTCCCACTGCTCAATCGATCTGAGAGACAAACTACTGTGTTGATACATATCATTCGGTGCGATCCACAATAAATATTTCCAGAATCAGAAAAAGTAATATGAAGTAAAGCTTGCCAAACATTAATTTCCGAAACTGTCAATTTATTCTTCTGCACACAAAGCATTTCATAACTGCATAATGTTGGCTCAGTGACAGAAATTCTTGAAATTTGTTTTAATTTCTTTTCCAGCTGTTTAAAATGAGTAATAAAAGGTTTAAGCGATGATATGGGCGTCTTGGCTGTCGCCGCAAATGTCCATTCCGTAATAAAAAGTTCATGGCCCTAGAAGCAAAGAAATAATATCGAACATAACAACAAAATAACAACCACCACGAAGGAAGAACAAAAACATAAATAGCTAAACTAATAGTTGATTTCCGATGACATAACAATGTATTCGTGAAAATATATCCATATTATGTAGACATAACGCATGAATACTTAATAGCCAATGAGGATTTTTTCTTACAATAATACTGCTTTTATTTTTCAATTATAGCCTTTCAAGATTTTGATAATCCTCAGATTCAGATTAAATTGATTTGTACTCCGTTGGTTGATACACTCTACATTACAAACACTTTTTTGTTTTTCGTCAGCTTGTTTCTGTTTGATCACCATGAAACTGCTTCTTCCACCCTGCCTTTATTCCCTTTTATTAGAAATACTTCTTGAATTACCGTAGCACAATCCACAGCTGACCATTCCCGACAGAACGGACTAATATTCGGCCGCCTCCTAAAATCGTTCATTTTGGTCAACCGCCTTTGAACACCATCGATACAGGAAAATGTTTCGTATGAACTATCATCAACTGGTGTCGTGGGTTCACCTTCCTCAGCCTTCCGCCACATCAGTTTTTCTTCATGCATTTTTTGAAATGCTACAACATCCTCGCGATCACGCTGTTCCGATCTTACTCGTTGTCTCTGAGATATTAGTAAAAAAATTAAAGGATCTCAGAAAGTTCTTTCAAAACTTAACGAGGAAAAATTCTTAAATCATCCTAATATGATAACCCCAATAAAACTACTACAGACTACATAGGAAACGTCAGCACCCTCCGTTCATGTTCCACTGCTGCATGCTGCTGTAACATGCCATCGAAAAAAGATCCTTCTGGAGGTTTATTTCGTTCATATAGAAATTCTTGAACCATCTGGCACAGTTCTAGAACAATTTCCTGAAAATTGTTACTCATCAAAAATGTTCCAATCATTTACGTGAACTTATTTGTTTACTAAAAAAAGTAATGAATTAGATAAAACGAAGTCAATAATGATTACTCACGTTTCCTTTCAATGATGCTGCTTTACTATCTAGCATCTGTTTAAGTTTATCAATATCCCTCAGCGAAATACCTTGTATATTTTCTAGCGCAATCACTGGTGTCCTATAAATAACACCGGAAATTGGCGAAAAATTGTTAAAGGATAAATAATTGTCCTGATAAAATTTTTGAGGTTTTTAAGTGAACAACATAAAAACTGAAAAGACTGTTTTAAACATTTTAAATTATTATATTGGCTATTATCATACTGTGTAGCATAAAAAAAACAAAATGCTGCACATACCCATATAATGGATATGTTTTTGGACATTTTACATGAAGATCTAACGAGACGTAAATTTTGCCGCTGGTGGTGCTAACTGATCGAACAGGTTTTAAATGCAGGATGACGTCAAGTGGTTGCCATATCTGTAAAAAAATCGACTGATTTTTATAACAGACTCTTCAGAAAAAGTTAGAAAAAGTTTATATGTAAACAGCATGATGACTGTTACCTTGGTAAATCCAACTGCAGACATCTAATAACTGTTTTACCTAATGTTTATGAACAATTACTGAATCTTCTGATTGTTGAAATCATTGACTAGAGACACAACAACAAATAAAAAACATAAGTGAAGTTATCTATGATATTTACACAGTTATATTTCAAGCCAGATAATGCGAGTGAAAAAATGAAATCTGACAAACATCACCAGTTAGCATTTTAATCTAATAATGTGCTTCAACGAACCATTCATGGAAACAAGCAAATGAAGATAATGGAGATAATGAGAGAGACTTTCTACATCAATCGTATATAAAATGATTAATTAATCAAATCTAATCAGTCGATTCAACAAACCTTCCAAGCATTTTGGGCAGCATCGCGGAAGTCTTCACCATATACGGACTCCAACACTATCCGTTCATCTCCTTGTCGCCTTTTAGCGTCATCTAGTGTCCCGCCGATATCACCAACTGCAGCACTTCGTTGTTCATATTGCCGGTGCTCCATCGATTTCATAAGTTTAGTGATTCTGTCGAATGTTGTCTCCCATTAACTTGAAAAATACAATGACAACAATATGATAACACCAGCAATCGTGATGACCTATTCAGAATGGTGTATAAGGATACCGTCTCAATGAATCTTTAGGTTCTCTTTTGGTGTTATGACATACGCACTGAAACATTATACATGTATTCCAAAACACCAGGTTATTGCGTAAACGCATCTTATTACTCTAGCCATAGAAGAAATGTGAAACGATAAACTGCATCACCCTCAAAACATCTAATTTCGAGTTATATATAAATTTAAGTGAGTTCAAACTCAAGTTCAAAAATTATTACCTCCTTTTTTGCTCCATATCGATTTATCATTAGTTTCTGCTATTATGGCTATGAGCGACCATTTTTGTACTTCTCGACTCTGTACTGATTCAAACAAGGGAATCAAAACTATCATTAATATCTCCTGTTTTCACTCTTAACCTCTTCTTTAGACAGTATTCTTCTTTTCTACCGTACAGTTAAATTAAATTTCCACTTCAGCTAAAGAGCATTACTCTACTGAAGTTCTAGTATTCGCTTCAAACAAAAAGAGCAGAGTATGTGCGCTTCACTACTATCAAATACTTTTCCTAGTGTTTGCTGTGATCAACGTACTTATCATCAGATACTTCCAATTTCTGCTTCAGTTAGTCCCCTTCCACCCTTTGTCAATTATTTAGAGCATCGAGCTGTCAAAAACTACTCAGTTATATCTGACTTGAAGGCAAGTATACAGCACAGAGATTACAATTTACGTAATGTTCTCATATCTCGCTGTGCGATTCGTTATTTGGTTTGTTGTAATTAAGCTATGATTTCGCATGGGGTTTTTTTTTCTTTTGAAGTGGAAGTGGTTTGGGGGGTTTTTCTCCCAGTCTGAAAATAATGGAAGTCTTTCGTGAGTTATCCGCGCAATTCAGGGTTCCGAACTTAAAGAATTTCAGTTTTTTAAATTTTATTCAGAATGCTTGGTTCTTACTTATATTATTTCAGTCAATGATTAGACAATGCAGTGACAGAACGACTCGTATAATACTACTATGGGTATAACCACAACAGACAACGACGAACAAGCAGCAAGTGAGATGGCAGCTGCAAAACCAAAAGAACGGCAATTTCAGGTTATTCTCTCTCACTCAGTTTTTAGAAGGTAACAGTACTATGCAGCTTTTATCGAAGGGCATCATTTTTGTTATTCCGAAGAAATTAGTCGAATTAGCATACCAAATTAGTAGGTATAATGATTATAAATTTAATTTGCGAAGAAATGTCCTCCAAGTAATTCTAGAAGCTTATATCCCCTTCACTGTGATAGACAAATACTACATGGATATGCTTATATTGTTAAATCTGGTTTCAAGTGTTTGTTAAATCTGGTTTCTGTGCGGCGTGACATATTTATTGGAGTGTGTATTTGTTTGCAGGTTGTCCCTGTTCCAGGGACTTTTACTCGTGGCCGTTGGAAATGTTGGGATTATAAAGACAAGACATCGGAAACTGGTGCAATTATTGACTTTACGGACAAATCAGAAAAACATTCGTTACGTAAGTTATTGTGACATTTCATTTGTATTAGTTTCAGTCTTTTTTTTTTCCAGTTTATCATGATAAAATCATATTTCAGTGTTATAGAAGTTTGAAAAGGGGATTACAGGGACAGGATTTTTTGGAAAATTCAATTTTCATTTTTGTCTTTTGAAGGTTATTTTTGAGTGAATGTTCGAGAAATAAATATCTTGAAACTTTTGATGAAGCAAGGTTTTTCGGTTGTACCCATAATGAGAGGTATATTCAGTTTTACCTTTTTCCCGGTCATTTTTAGATGTACCCTTATCGTTCGCGATGAATACTTTCATTGATACCTATAGCACTGGGTAAACAATGCACTTACGAGTATAAATCGGAGTAATTTGATTTTAATTTTGATGCTTTCATTTCCACTGACAATCATTCAATTATTCTATTGTCTGCTGTAAAGAAAATGTGAATAGTTTCCGAACTGAACACATTTTATACGGTGTTGCAGTGGGCATTTGAAGCCTAATGCATCAGACTAGACTGCTTCTAGGACAATCTAACATGCTCAGCTATTTTTATAGCAGTCAATATTGTTGAAAATCTGGTCGGATGTCGGACTTTCATTTCCCATGGCCAAACAGATACAGTGAATAATACGGCAAATGAACCACACTTGATTTCAGGAACTGATACGAGTGGAACAGGTCCTGATTTTATTTTATTACTCAGATACAAATCCATTTGGTTTTCGATTGTTGAGTGTAGCTTTTTTACTTCCTAGTTAGAAACTGCAAAAGTGGAATTAGTTTTAAGTAAAGATCTTATTTTGAACGTATTGTGGACCGTGTTTGCAACAATTGATCTTACGGTTTTTTTTTTTTTTTTTGAAAAATTAGTCAACGATCAACATTTATACTGGTGTTTTTAGCAATATCACAAGCGATTGACGTATCAAATATAGGAAAAGAATCCAGTACAATCGTTGTTACATCCATTGATCCTCCATCTGCAACTCCAATACACGGTACTCCATCTTCAGCGAGTACTTCTCCTGTGATCAATAATGCAACTATTATTGAAACTAAGGTATTTATTATTTTTTACTTCTGGTCATGAATAAAGCCATCAGAATTGTCTAATCATTCAGTAAAGTGTCTCATTCATTGATGGCTTAATCGTGCTGGATACGATTACTTATGAGTTTTATAAGTATTTAACATGGACGGCTCTTTCAAATTGTTTGCATAATTAATCTTAGAAAGTTAGAGAACATAACAACTTTTTCTTCGATTTACTAGCAGCATTTGAAAATATGTTTTAGTGTGCATAACAGTTTAAACATGCAAGATTAGTGTATTTGATTTGCTTTCTGTGTATTGCTGTTATTGATTTTTGTATCTTTCAGTAATTAGTAGGTATAACTTTTCTTGTGCATACCCTTCTTTTTTCAGGGAAAAGTCTCAGATCACGAAAATTTATTGTCACTACAAACTGCAGCGTCGGCGCCCGTCCTTAATGCTGGAGTAGCACCTGCCCACACATCCCAGTTCTACCGAACGCCATCCGCTACAACTTCATATTTACAACCACTATCGGTTTCTATTATTTTAAATCTTTTCTTTCCTTCCGAAATTTATTAGTTTCCTAATTGAGTATACGACTGCTTGGTTCCATCACTTTGTTCTCAGTTCCTTTAAGATTTAAAGAAACGTGAGCCGTGACTATTCTAGATATTCATTCAGACAGATATCTTTGCTGAAATTCTGTCACTCTGTATATAGACGTACTATTTTTGGTTACGCATGTGATCATAATCATTCCCTATTTGTCAGAATGGGACATTCTTCTGTTATTTAGATTAAGCTGTGCTTCATTTTGTTTATTTTTACGTTTATTTATGAATTATGAAAACAGTTGATAGCGATTTCAGGAACATCCTGATTCGAATGTTATGGTCCAACCATCGTTTGCACCCGAACCGATTGCAACAAATGTACCGCTTACTGTAACTGAAGCGGACGATCCGTAAGTCTTCTCTTCTTATAAATTTTCAGCGCTTTGAATTTTGATAATTGTATCATATATTATATTATTTTTTTTTTTCGATTTTCAGTGAAACTTTATAGATTTGTTGGAAATATTGATTGACACTACGTTACTCGGTTCTCTTTAATAGTTTTCTGGTGTAATTTGGTTGTTTAATAACATCACAGTGCTTTCACGGCAGTATGAGTTATTAATTTTTATGGGTTATGAATTTTTTTTTAATAGTACGAATTTTGTCAATATTTGGGAGGTTTAAGTTAGTTTACTACTATTTTATTGCGTTTCCTGCAGATCATTGCGAAATATAATAGAGCATAAATAGTTTGCTGCTATTACTTTTATTGTTTCTATAGTATCAATCTTTTCAAACATTTCTTTACTGTAAGGATGGTTCTGCTGTAAATTACCTAATAATGCGAGAAAAAAATTTTTTTTTCTCTAGATAAAAATTATTAAACCGAATTGAAACAAATTCGGAAATGTTTGTTGTCCTTTTTGGATTTTTCTACGCCGTGGCCCTATAAAAGGAATTCATTTAGTATTTCTAATTTAAATTCGAATTAAAAGGTGGTGAATTTTGACTGGAGAGTTCAAAAATATTGAAATATTCAGTCGATTTAAAACGCTGTTACATTTTTAATTAAATCACCATATTATATATATAATGAACTGATAAAATGAGTATAAGGTACATCAAGTACCTTCAAGAATACTACGCTAGTTATATTAATTATGTTAGTTATACTAGTTATGTTAGTGTGTCAATTGTTACGTTAGTTGCTGATCGATATGATATTACATAAAAGTTCTTTTTGTTCCCTTCATCAATTGATATTTTTTTGATTAAGAATTATGTGGTTATGATACTGAGGATTAATTGAAATGGCTAGATTTTTTTTTAAGTGAAATAAGTCTTGCTTTTATTGAATTCATTAGCTGTTTGCATCAGTTTTTCTGCTCATTATTTTTGTTTAAGTCTTTTTTCATTGCTGTTGAAGCGACATGTTCTGGAGTTATTTCCATATATATGTGATGTTGATATATTTGAATGTTTGAAAGCAGCGTAAATTAGAATTGTGATAGATTTGGTAACTTCAGTTAGTAGAATCACTTTTCCTAATACGATGATAATTTTTATCTTTAATTTTTAGAGTGCTTTTTTTTTTTTTTCGGTGGTAACAGTAAGTAGGTGACTTAGTAATTCTGCATATACTTTATCTTCTTTATTAGAATATAGTAAAATTAATAATGATATATGCCAATATTTCTATTAAAACTTTTCGAAACTGTGGTTTAATCGAAGTAATGATAGTGAATAGGTATGGTTTGAATGAAATTATGGCTGTGATTGGTAACAATCGTTTGTATTGCGATTATCCTGATTGTAGTGATATAATGATTTCGGTGTGTGATAATATGATTTTCTCTTAATTCGAGAGAGTTGAGCACTGAAGTTATTAAATTCTTTATGTGAATGGTTCTATTCCAAAAGTCTTTTGAAATGGAAAAATGTTGCAAGTACGGGCTTTTTTTACCAAAGTCAAAGTCGAGACATTTTCTAAGGTCAAAACTTTGTCAGTCTTTGTTATTGGCTCTTTGGACTGCAATCAAACTGAAACCTTTAGGAGTAAAAAGTGGTCCCTTTCTTTCTGAATTTTTAATTGATATTTGAGATATCTTTAATTTACTTTCGTAATGGTCTTATAGATTTTTGCAATAATATTTACTACTCATAACTGTCAGCTATAATTGCTCGCCTTTTTACACTAAATCATTTGTTGATCCGTTACTTTCTGATCTATTTATGAAACCATTTCTTTTTCATTATTATAACTGATGTGTTGTTAATTTTTACAGTTTACATATTTTGCACTTAATAGGTAGCATTAAAAATGTGGTGCTGTAATAAAATTTGGTATAACAAATTGGACAGCATGACAATTCATCTGTTCATTAGAAAATTAGTCATGAAGGGTAGAAGGATTAGTACAAACTAGATATATACTATTGTTGTGTGCATCAATGTTTCAGTTTTGTTTGGGTTTTAGAGACAACGTGAACGTAATTTGTTTCAGTGAAATATTTTTATTGACTTAGAAATTAAATGCGAATACTCCAAAAGATTATCTTCTGCTTTGAACTTACATCTTTACCTTATTTTATTCCTTGGAGTTTATCATAAATATGTTGCGAGCATAGAAGCGGAAATTTGAGTGGAAAGATAGAAGACTGCTGATAACTCTTGAGAGTTGTAGGTTTTTAGATGGAAGAATTGGGAACTGGATACTGGGAATATAGATTTCTGTTTTCAAGTTTTTTATCAATTTTCAGGTCATAATTCTTTTTCAGATATTATTTAACAAGAAAAGTTAGTCATTGAAGCAGTGAATTATGGTAATTCTTCACCATTTGGTTTTTTTTTTTTTTTCTTTCAGTAATTTTTTAGAGTAGTTGTCAGTTAGTAACTTTTTATTAATAATGCT